TTAATATTACTTGCGTAAGTGTTTCAAAGAAAATAACTGAAATAAGCAATTAATTTTAGTCATGTTTGGTCTATGGTCTACTTAGAAACATAGAAAACGACTTATGGTTTCACCTCAGGTTTTACTACATTTTTAATATTGATTTTCAATATTGTGCAATCTGATCAATCGACAAATGCCTCAATTTGGAAACTTCAATCGATTTTAAAGCACAGCAGTGTTGTTCTACTTACGGAGTCAATCATGCAAATGGTACCGTGCACGGCGGCTGCTATATTAAATCAACCATAAAACACCATGTTTGCTATGTGAACATTTGTTACAGAAAATAATACATACTTCAAAGCATAAAATTTCGAGCAAACAGTTCAAAGTTCCTCCAACTGCGAGAATGAAAGTGCAAGAAGAGACTAAATTCATAATACCAAATCTAAGTGTATCAAGGGGATACCGGGTCTGCTAGATTTCTGCATCACAACAGGTAATCAACTTCGTCAAAGTTGTATAAACTTTAGATTTTATTATTTCTGACTTGCTATACAATAATCTGACTATTTCACAAAAATATAGTGGTTAACATTTCAGGGTCATATCCCTGTCACATTGCTAACCACTTAAATAGCATTATTTTTCTCAAAACCAGCGAAGAGATCAAACAGGCTGTGAATAATTTAAACAGCAAATTAGTAAGTACTGAAGCTGAAATAGACTGACAAGTCACTTTTCTTTTAAAATAATCAAGATTTCAATTCTATTGTACACGGACAAATCGATTTATGCCTATTTATCTATACATAAATCGACGTAACAAATATGACCCATAATTATCAAGGAAAACTTAATATGGAATAAAACCTGCTACAATAGGATAAACAATTTCGTATGGCATCGTGTCTTAAGTCAAATTGCTAAAACTTTCCGTACCAAAAATTTAATTTAAAAAAAAATCAATTTTATTTTGAAACTGAAAAAAATTGATTTTAAAGAAATTTGAAATTTAAAACAAAATGGATTTTTTATATTTTGAAATATTTTGGAAATTTTGAACTTTTTTTCAAAGCAATCGCGCTAATTTAGGTGTCTAGAAACGAAATATCAAAGCGCGTAAGCACCGTGTCGCCGTCTAACGGATAATCAATGTTACGAAACCCATAGAAATGTAAACAAAATTCACACTTAAATAATTCATAATTAAAATCTCTATAAAATATCTGAAAATATCTGATAATTTGATATGCTAAAAATCATTTTTAAACGCCAAATAGCATTTTTTTTAATTCATATACTCAATCTCTAGATAGAAATCGCTAGACTGGTCTTCCCAAAAATGTAGTTAGTTCTTTATTTTGTCAATACAAAAAAAATGTTTTTTTAAATTATTGAAATCGGACGCTCCGTTCTCTTTAAAACTGGATTACTATTTTTGGCCTTTTTTGTCCCGTATCTTCAAAACCGCTGGACATGCCTTGTCCTAAAACTAACAGGCACGTCTCCTCATCAATAGGAATCGAGTATTTTTGAAACATTCAAATCGGTTGAACCGTGTTTTCAAAATCGTCGACAAACATATGTATCCGAACACGCACACATACATTCGTTTTTTCTAAGAAATTCCAAAATGTTCAGAAACCTATGAAACGTAAAGATATATAAAAATATTCATTTTCGATTTTTCTGCGAATACTCTAACTTACCATACGGGAAGTTAATAAAAACTGTCGATTTTTTTCTAAAATTATCTAAGAGATCTACCTTCTTTTATCTAAGATTTAGAATATAAGATTCGAGGCTCCTGCAGGGCAAGTAGTTTCGTAAAAAGCCGCAATGAACGTTTAAATCGGCCAAGTGACTATTGTAATATTGTTTTCGTGGATATTCGGCTAGAGATTTCTTATATGTTTTCTTTCTATTGGCAACCATATTTTTATCTATGGCAGAAGTGATTAAAGACGAAATAACCTAAATTTGTACACAATTATTTTATAACTATGGGGGTATCGAAAGTGTTGGGGTTTAAGCGAGTCCAACAATGGGCCACGTTTGCCAAGGTTTGGCATGTTTATGATTGCACGTGGCAAAACCCTTTCAAATCAGCTGAGTTGATAAAAACATACATTATGGGTTTGCATAAGCCTATTTACCATCCCTTAAATTATTGTGGGGATCATGTTGTCTTGATTAATAGTAAAGAAATAGCCCTTCCCGGCGATGAATGGCGAAAGAGAGTTTATTTTCACCATACAGGATACCCAGGGGGCGCTTCATGGACTCTAGCTTGGGAATTACATGACAAAGATCCAACTTTAATAATGAAAAAAGCAGTTTATAACAGTATGAAAGGCAACCTACAAAGACGACATGTTATGAACCATTTGCACATATATCCTGATGATAATATACCTGAGGAAATTAAATGTAATATCACTAATCAAATAAGGCAGTTAAGGCCAGTGCCAGTGCGATTAAGTGATATACCAGAGGAAGTTATTAAAAATTATCCCAAAGTTATAGATTGGCCTGAAGATTATGTACTTAAATAATGAATAAATAATTAAAATTGCTATTAATAGTTAATATCTTAATTTCTCAGATTGTAAGTCTTTATAGGTGTTTCATTTTCCCTGTACATGAACCAATAAGTAAATAGTTACTTGTGAATAATGTTAAATGTATCAGAATAAGCATAAATTAAAGCTTATGATAAGAATTTGTAAATAATGTTGCAAAAATTAATAGACTAAATATATCAAAATATGACAATAAAAAAATTAAAGAATTGTTTGAATTTCTGCTTTCAAGAATACACCAATGTTATTTTAGTCAGATTTAAATGCAAAGTATTTTTTCTCTGAAGTATTGGATGACTACCAGTGGTGTTGTTAATAATTTTTTTTACCAGAACTCTAAAATTAAAAAAACCGTTTTAATTTTGTTTCGGTTCTGTTCAAAAAAAAAAAAAAATCATTACAAAACTATTTAGAAAGAGAAAATTCACTTATCAAACCATTTTCTGTACGTAGCGATTTATTAAATTTTTTTTGCCAAAAAATGATTTGCTGGAACGACGTTCCGGCTCGACAACATCACTGATGACTACCATGAGTTCATTTCATAACTAAAAGGCTTAAATATTTCATACCTGAATAATTTATCTTGTTTTCTTGAAAATTCATATCATTTTCACCATTCACTATTTTTTATGACACTGATAGTTCAGAGGTTCCATAAAAATATTGTAATTATAAAATATTACTACATTCATTACAAATATATGTATTTATCATAAAAGAAAACAAGCATATTTTACAATACATCAAAACATGCAACTAATAACACAATGACCATGTCAACGTACAATATGATTTTTTTTTATTGACAGGTACCAATTACTTATCTAAATCTACTTTTATATTAACATATTTAATAACTAAATCCTTATATATATATAATTAATCATTTATATATAAAGTTTAACAAAATACTTGAGACTACTTTAGGTATAGTTCTCATCTGAAAGTCACAGCACAGACTTGTTTTCTTTTAACAACAATCTGGAAATAAATATTAACTTTGAAATTTATATCACCAGATATTACTAAATACATAAAATTTTCTAAATAATAGTTTATATTAAACAAGCCCAGATTAAAAGATTTGTAATAAAATATCCAAAATATTTATATTATGCATCATATTTATATATTCAATAAATGTTATTATAATAAGATATTTTTAAAACATTGAATTCGTTAAATAATTCAACAAATAGATAAAGGGCTTTGCATATCAAAAATATTAACTTTTCTCTAATTAAGTAAAAAAAATTAAGGCATTGTATCAAAATTTATTGTAAAATTATCAATCATGGATCTTAACTCATGCTGTGAATAATCTTCGGGCATTGGTAGTTGACTTATAACTTTCAGTATTGCTCTTGAATCAGCTTGATTTGCTTGCATAACAATTCCACGAACAATACCAATGATTTTCTTTGATATTTCACTTTGACACAGTCTATGCTTTGATGTAGGGCAAGGAAGTAAGATTACTCTGCTACATAATGATGACAATCGTGGCTGCAGAATTTCCATGTGGTAGCCTAAATTCTCAATCTCTTCACTCAGCATACCTTGGACCTATGTGAAAAAATGTTACTTTTATACTAACATATTCTTATATAATAACAGTACACAAATTTACTAGAACTTTTCGTTATACAGACAAAAATTTATTATTAAATGAGAAATAAAATCTAGATTATCAAATTTTTGAAGAATTTGGATTGATTTAGAAAGATCAGAAATTTTGGAACTAATGTTATGATACATTTTTTTTGTATGACGACTGTACAAAACTTTTAATTAACAAAAGGGCCAATGCAAGCATTGTAACCTTCTGAACAAAATTTAAAACATTCATGTGGGCACGTTCAGATTGTTTGGTTTTGTTTGAGATTTGTTTGACCAAATTTGAGTGGTAATTTTTTTTTTTTTTTTTTTTGCATACTTTTATTGTCAATCAAAATAAAATACATTTTTTTAAGACAATATGATGTTGGTGTTAATGCATTAAGAGATTATCTCCTATGAGATATCTCACTTATTTTTTTATTTTTGACGTTTTATTTGAGATCGTATGGCCATTATTTTTTCAATCTACGAGTGGTAAAAATGATGCATATACTTAAAATTCCTTTTAAATTTTACATCATTCATTTTACATTACCTTTAAAAGAATTGGACCTTTCCCAACAAGCAAAGGGATTTTCATATTATTAGTATGTATTGAATGTTTCTTATATCCTAATCCATGTATCAATTACACAAAAAATGAGGCAAAATAAATCAATACAAACATACATAAATAAATATATATGTACATCCATATTTTATAAGATCTGTTACCAAAAAAAAACTTCAATATGAGATTTCAATAACCTATCCAGCAAAATATTAAAAATTCTGTTATCAAAGTTTAGAAGTAAATGAGCCTAAATGTTTGATTCTCATTATTGGAATAGAAAAAAAAAAAAACTAAATGCCTCATAAAGTGAGAACTTGCACAAGTGTGCAAATATATTAAATGTTTGCAACATTATGTTGCACTAAAAGATTTTTATTCAAATATTCATTAAATCAATTTTGTTTAGAATAAAGTTAGTCCAAGCTTTATATAGTTTTTATGTTACAAAAATTGAAGTCAATGCATAAATTGAGATTTATTTAAAATTCACATTTCTACTCGTTATTATATTAACTATCAACTACTTGTTGAAACTCACCTCTGACTCCAAATCAAGAAAATCCCATAGCACTTCTCCTTGAGTCGACCAACCTGATATAGAAACACTGTTTTCAGCAAGCGGAGACAGCATGTTCTTCAAGTTTTGTATTTCGCCTGAGAGAGGAAATTTTCAAATAAAAACTAAATGACAATCAATAAATAAATTAACAATAGCAAACAGAAAAGCTTCTGAAAGCTACACAACATGTCAGTAAATTAATAATAAACAAATTAAGAATCATAGTAAATAAAATTACAAAATAAGCCAATTACTCTCTCAATTCACATGCATTGATTATCAATCTAATGAAACAAAGCTTTGGTTTCAATATTTCAAGTTGCAATATTTAAATTTTAAATCCCACCTATATTTAATAATAAAAAACTAGTGGGGCGCATGGCATCGTGCCTTAAGGCAAATTGGTGGAACTTCCCGTACCAAAAATTATTTTTAAAAAGAAATACATTTTTGAAAAAATTTCACTTTAAAAATTTTATTTTTGAGAAACTATAAATTTTTGAAAAACAATTATTTTTTGAAAAAAAAAAACTTTTTGAAAAAAATGTTCTCTTTATTTTGAAATATTTTAGAAGTTCTGATCTTTTTTTCAAGCAAACGTACTGCTTTAACTGCATAGAGACGAAGCGCGTATTAGCCGCGAGTCACGTCTGACAGATAAACATTGAAACGGAACCCATAGGAATGTAGACAAAATTTATGTTTATTGTTAATATCTCTAATAAATATCTAATCTCTTTATAATATATCTAATATAAATAATCTCTATAAAATATCTAATCTTCGGAACGGCTAGACCTGCCTTCGCCAAAAACTAATTAGCATGTCTCCTTATCAATATGAACCGAATGTTTTTTGAATTATTCAAATCGGTTTGTATCCGCACGCACGCACACACACACACACACACACACACATACATACATACGAATACATGAATTTTTTCTAAGATATGCCAAAACATTTAAAAACCTATGAAACATAAAGATATATTAAAATTTTCATTTTCGATTTTTTTGCGATTACTATAACTTACCCTATGGGAAGTTAATAATTTTACTTGCAGACTGACAAAATGCGAATAATTGCTAGTATTAGCAAGTCTAGTTTAAGGCTATGCTATTTGTGCAAAATAGTTGTATTTACCATTTATAAAATCATCAGGTGCTAAATGCCTCATTATGACTGTATGAGCTTCATTCCACATGTTCCCATTGATGAAACACTCAGCTTGGATTCTATATTGTTTTAAATTACCAGCTAATAATGCCTTTGAATTATATAGCCATTGCGAAGGAATATTCAGCTGCTCCAAAATAAATTTTTCTCGATTTAAATAATCTTCGTCCATACTTAAAGAGACATGACGATCAAGTAAATCTTTTATTACAGCTGCACGTCTGAAATCATTAATAGAAGTAAAAATTATTACCCAAAAATTCAAAAGAAAAGAAATAACACTTATCAATTTAATATTACAAACCTTTCATCTGATTCAATATGTAACAGAACAAAAACAGCCCAATGCCATAAACCATTTGTTTCCAATTGAGATGCAAATGATGTGTGAATCATAGATTGTGAAAGTTCAGAACTATGTCCATATCCAATAGATTTCAAAGTCTGCTGTAAGAACCAACTGAAAGGAAATGATATAACTTCAAGTTAGCTTATTTGTTTAATAGTAAATATCGTAAAGAACATACTAATATTATAAATAAAATCTTGACAAAAATTATTAGAACAGGTGTTTCAAATATCATCTGGTGGCAAGCAAATTATTCATAATCAATATTTTCAGTTTGTTTAGGTAAATTTTATTGAAAAGGTAACAGATCAACTAGATATAGTTAGTGAAATAGTTGGCCAATTGGCTAACCAGGCATTAAAATATAATTAAAGAATAAGAAGTGTTCTTGAGATAAACTTATAAATCATAATATTCTATTTAATGGTATTTTTTGTTGGATTCAATTTGTGGATATGTCAGAACATCAAATTACAATTGGTTTGCAAAATTATTTCTTAAAAAAGATGGATAATTAAATTAACCTAGTCAAAAGTACAGTTTAATCATGTAATAAGTTGTACCTTAGTCTATAATCCAAAGCATCAGGAGTGTGAGTTGCTGGATTTAATAAACTTTCCAGTGTATGACTGTGGCAAGTATTTAACTTCAATAAGTGAAAACATAAATCTTGAATAGATTTTCTTTCTTGGCCAACATTAGTACAACAATGATATGGAGGATCAGGTGAGCATGCATATGGCTTTAAATCAACATCTGGATCATCCAGTTTGAATGCCTTTTCATATAATTGCAAACAATCTGCGATAGAAGCTGTTGGCATACTAATATACCTAGAAAATAATTATTATTAATGACATACTTTGTATAAGAATTTAAGTAAGTATAGAAGTGTTATGACTATTAAAAATAAAAGAATATTGAAATACAACAATTTAGAAAAAATTACTTTAGTTAATTTCCATTTATATTTTTTTATTTTAAAATGCGTGTTTAAAGTGACTTTTCAAATTATACTGGGCATGCGTATATATATATATATATATATATATATATATATATATATATATATATAATAAATGTTAAATATGAACAATACAACACTCAGATTTTCAACACACACTTTATTTGGTAATCACAGACATTTCGATACCATTGTATGCCTCATCTTTAGTGTAATTTCAAAAACAGTTACTTATATACTACACATTCTTTACACATTCTGTATGTTTCACATGTTTTAGTACTGTGTCAAGCTTTGCAAGTGATGTTTTTTTGTATTTTCAAAAATTAATTGTAATTTAAATAAAATATTAAAGAATGTGTAGTATATAAGTAACTGTTTTTCAAATTACACTGAAGATGAGGCATACCATGGTCTCGAAACGTCTGTATTTACCAAATAAAGTGTGTGTTGAAAATCTGAGTGTTTTATTGCTCATATTTAACATTTAATATTCATTCCACTTATATAACAAATTCTATTTATATATATATATATAGATCGATATATACTATTTATCTATATATATATATATATATATATCAGGTGGGCATTAACTCATTAATCCGTTAATCGTTAATTAACGAAGTTAACATTTTGATTAACGGATTAATTTTAAGTTAACTTTTAAAAATGTTAACGGACACGTTAACTTCCGTTAAAATGCGAGAAGTCCGTTAATCGTTAATCCAATGCCTACTATTTACCGCACGGCACAGCTTTAGCCAATGCCTTATTAAACGGCATAGAGAAAAGTTTTGGACTACTCCTGAATGATGAACAGTGCCAACTTGCCGCGGCATTTCACCCAAAGTTTCGGTTAATGTGGCTGGAAACGTATGACAGCAGTAGAGAGGAATGCAGAAACTATAAACTATTGGACAAAAAATTAATATTTTTGAAAAAAAAATGTTTTCTTTATTTTGACATATTTTGGAAGATCTGAACTTTTTTTCAAAGCAATTTTACTGCTTTAGGACTGCATAGAGACAAAATATAAAGCGCGTAAGCGCCGCGTCGCTGTCTAAAGGATAAACATTCGTACGGAACCCATAGGAATGTAAATAAAATTTATACTTATTGTTAAAATCTCTATAAAATATCTGATAATTTGATGTGCATATGTCTAATGATCATTTTGACCGCCAAATGGCATTTTTTTTACTTTTTTCATTAGATCTCCCAAACCGCTAGACCTGCCTTCATGAAAAATTGATCAGTTCTTCATAATTGTCAATACAAGTAAAATGTTTTTTGAATTATTAAAATCGAACGCTCCGTTCTCTTAAAAACTGAGTTACCGTTTTTGGCTCAATTTTGCCCCATATCTTCGGAACGGCTAGACCTGCCTTTGCCAAAAACTAATCAACACGTCTTCTTATCAATACGAATCGAATGTTTTTTGAATTATTCAAATCGGTTGATCCGTGTTCCCGAAATCGTCGACGAAAATTTGTATACGAATACACATACATTCACGCACACACATACATCCATTTTTTCTAAGGTATGCCAAAATATTCAGAAACCTTTGAAACGTCGAGAAATGCAAAAATTTTCATTTTCGATTTTTTTGCTATTACTATAACTTGCCCTACGGGAAGTTAAAAAAAACTCTTTCCCTTTATTTAGAAAAAAATTCTTGTAAAAACAATATGCAATCATAAAAACGGAAAGTTGACCAATAGCGTTATCACGGTATGTGATAATTGTGCCATTTTCCTTATACACACGGAAGTGTGCATAAAACGCGCGAGGGGTTAAATTACACATTTGAATTATACAAGTATTTTGTTTTATTCATAACCTGTTAACTTCCAGAACCTAAACTAATAAGTTTTTTAAGTTCACTAACGCAACGATATAAAAATGTAATTTTACACATATTAACGGATTAACGATTAACGTTAACTTGCGTTAATTCTTCCGAAATGTAACGCTTTAACGTTTAACGAAGTTAACTTTTTTTGTAGCGGATTAACGATTAACGAAGTTAACTATTTGATTAACGGTGCCCAGCTATGTATATATATATATATATATATATATATATATATATAAGTTAAATTCCTTGCATATAACATTAAATAGTGTGTTAATTATAGTTTATACATCTCCGCTTACCATAGATGAACAGCTAATGACCTTTTCCAATCCAATCCTTCACATATGTTTATCATACCATGAGTAGATTCAAATACAGGAATACCTGCAACTAGTAAAAATGCACGCAATCGCATGGGAGAAATGAATAAATCACCTTCAACATCTCTCCAAGATATTAATTGCTGTTTCAAAAGCTCCCGAACCTAAAAACCAAGTAGTTTATTATTTCGTTTTTTTTTTTTTTTTTCAAATTGCAAAGATAAAATCTGGTCTCACCATAGGCCCACTGGAAATTTGAGACAAAAGCATAGACAAGTAATAATCGCCATTTTCTTGAGCAATATCTGTAGCCTCTTCTATTTTATGCTGTGACAAAAGATTTATTATGGTTTCTAAGTGCTCTTCAGAATAATTATCTTTGTTTTCTGAAGCTTTTGAAGTTTGAATTGTAGTTTCTAGAGCAGACCATCTTTCCAGCCATTCAGAAAATGCTCTTCTTCTACACATAATTGCTATATGATCTGAGCTTTCTGAAATTCAATTTCATAGTACACACATATATATATATATAAAAAAGCATGTTTTTTATGATTCACACAACAATATCTTAAATAAACCTGAACAATAGATTATGACTATACAAATGATAGTAATATTCAATAAATATTTTCTACATTCTATTTTTAGATAATTGTATAAAATTCTGCCAAAAAAAATAACAAGTAAACCTATTAGTTACTAACCCAATCCTTCTAATGCCGCAATGTAACCCCAGAGTGCTTTCACTAAATCCCAAACTTGTGTATTGTAATGAAATTGATCAAAACTATTTTCTCTCTTATCATGCAGTTTCTGAGAAACTTCGTAGTGAGCTTCAAGAACACCAGGGTTTGTGATAGCTTTCGGATATTTATCATTGTGTATTATTTCTGTATAATCCAATTGGACATCCATATGTGGAAGAACTAGTTTCTATAAGAAGTGAATATTATTTATTTAATTTTTGCTATTAGAAAATAAAAAAAGTATAATAGTTCATTACCTCAAACCATTTCTCTGCTTGTCCAACTTGTACAGCTTGTATCAATGTAGTACTGCAGTCGTTCTCTTGTCTGCCAATCAAGTAACTATGAAGATTTTCTAAATTAGATTCTGAAATATAAAATATGATGAGTTGAAGATTTAATAAGCATTATGTTTTCTTTTGTATATAATTTATTATTTTATTCTACTTTATTTGAAAGAATCTTTGGCATTTATATTGTAATTGTAGAATCAATTTCTTTAAATCCTTTGTTGAACTGTGCTTATGTACTAAAATGGTCACAAAAGTCTACTCAGTAATTATTGAAATAAGTATGTTCTACACACAAATACAGACATATAATAAAGTAACATATATATATATATATATATATATATATATATATATATATATATATATATATACATACATACATACATATACATATATATACATATATAAGGAACAAACCTGGTTCTAAAGATTCAAATAAATCCTTTGTAGTCAGAGTTAATAAAAGATTTTGAGATCCCCAACCATTTTTGAATCGTCTACCATTATAGAGTGAAGCATCACTCAAACAAGTCAATTTAGATGCTAGAGAATCCTGAAATTCATTCGATAATAAGGTAAAGGATATACAATTTCACAAATCTGAATATAAACATAAACTAAAGGTTTTAATTTAATAGCAAACACCTTGATTCAGTAGATTACACAAGCCCAAAAGTAATAAGGTTTGAAGAAACATTTTATAAAATTAAGTTATGAACTGCTAAAATATAGTTAAAGAATAATATTCAAATTTAAAATGTTCTAACATTTGGTCTCAAACTAACCGCATTACCAATTAATTCATAAATGAAGTAAAATACAATTAATTAAATAATTGATAAATTGCAGTTAAAATGAAACAACTTTTGAAATCATCCAAAAATAAAGTTATGAATCAAATAAATGATAATTATAAAACTATTATAAGAACGTAAATTATAACGTAAATTAAGTTCATTTTAATTTATGCATTTATGGTCTAAGAAAAATAATACAAATAATTCGTAAGATAAAATCCAGGAATGAGTGTAAATATGTTAAACATTTTTGTGATGAATGATATCAATCTTTGGTAATAACAAAAATTATACCTTATATGGCATTGTATACTGACTATTTTTCAGTACTACTGTTGTAGGCCTTATTATTATAGTCTCAAAAACCTGAGTACTCATCTCATAAGCTAATTCCATCTCATTTAAATCTTTTTCTGAAGGACGTTCCAACTGTATTGTTTCTGAAATAATTGTAATATTTATTATATAACTTAAAAAATAACTTAGTAATCAGTCTTAAAAAGATTAAACTATATTAATTTTTTACATTTTGGAACATCACATATCGACTTTTAAATTTCTGGAGCCATTATTACCTGACATTTTAAATTTAAAACCGTTATCGTTGCCATTTTTATATCGTGAATTCATAACGAGAGCTTTTGGCACAATCTGATCTGATGTTTGTTTTTCATAAACCTCCATATTGTCTGTAACTAGAACATAAAAATGAATAATAAAAGCAAAATGGTACAAATATTACTAATAAAATGTTATGTCTTACCAGATTTCATATCATCATCATCATCATCATCAATAAAAAATGACGCCTTCATCAGCTGTAACTTGTGATTGTTCTGTCCAGATTCTTTAACAATATCTGTTGTAGGACTTCGAATTTCATTCCGTGTCTCAGAATTGTAATTTGTCCAAGATGTTTGTAGATCATCTTCAATATCTGGATATAAACCTATGACAATTACATTAAAACCTATTAGTAATTAGTAAAATATGATACTATGCATATATACAAACATATTTATAGATTTAATTGAAGATAGCGAGGATGTATGATTGAAAACACATCATAACATGAACTGTGTTTAAACAGAAGGATTTAATAAAGCATATAACACGAGCAAAGGGCCTCACAATAATCTATTGTGCACTCGAAAAATTTGTGAATAAAAATCACCCTAAAAAAGTAGCAACGCTTTGTGCATAGGGTTGTTCAACAAAACATGTCTAAATCATTTCCACAATATCATGAATGGACAGGGAAAAAACAATAATTGCGATTCAACATACAAGCAAGGTTACAAAACAAATTGAACTCGTATGTTGGGGTACCAGTGTTCATGTATATTTAAAGATGTACAGATGATCCAAAACCATTTACTTTCATATTTTTATATTTTACAGTAAATTTATTTACTTATTACTGCATATTTAAAAATATTACTTTTCATACTGAACATATTTTGGTCATACCTTGATATCTAATGAAATGATCGGGCACGTGATCATGTTTATCATAACCATTAGTCATAGCACAACTATGATCACCATTAGTCAAACCTCCACCAAGACCTTTTGAAATTTCTGCAATTTTAAAATAATTCATAATTAATGCAAGTAATTAAAATAAAGAAAGCAAAAACTAATATAAAATTAATACCTTCAAAAGATTTATTTAAAGACATTTGACCATTTTCTTGAATTTTATTTTTCTGTACTTTATGAACAATGTGATCAGATATGGCTTTAATAACAGGTGACTTTACTGGCTTTTTAACTGTAGGTAAAACTTCTTCATCTTCAGAGTCGCTTAAACCATATTTTGAAAAGTGATCGACCTATAAAACAAAATAATTATTTTGTCTTTAAACAAATAAAATTCAATAAGTAAAAGTAATGTGTTTGAATTTACTTTGAAAACCCAACTGCCAGTTTGAGGCCTATATTCCAAAAATCTTGTATCATGTTTAGCACAAACCCTTCGTAGTTTTTCTTCATAGTCAATTTGTTGCAAAATACCAGGATCTGTTATTGGTTCATGTTTATTTTTATCATGAGGCCATACTCTATCCAGGGTCACTTGTGCTTTTCTATTCAATCCAACTCCAACTGGTGGCTTGTTATCATCATCCGGATATATGATCACTTCCTTATGCCTGAAGTGCACTAAAAAATAATTTGTTATCTTTCATATAATATAAGAATTTAATTTAAATAAAAACTAACATTGTTGTGAGTTTACAGTAAGATTTCATGCAGTATAATGCACATTATTTAAAAGTGATAAATGTAATGTACATCAACTAAACTAATAGCACCAATAAAATATCAATAAATCGTTACCATTGAAATTATTTTTACCTATTTCATCCAAATTTAAATTGGCCACATCAAATGAATCATTGAAGTAGACATTTCCATAACCCTCTCTGCCTACAGTAAAGTTGGGGACGATGCATTGGTTATCTTCAGTCATAAATTCACTAAGTTTATCTAAAGACGGTATAGTATAATAGCCAGTTCGTGTCAAAGTTATACCAGTTGGATAATGGATAGCACTTTCTGTAGTTTGATGTTCTATTGAGGAATCTAAAAGAAAAGTTATAAATAATTTATCTGCATAATGTTAAATTTGGTAAATATTACATATAATGTAATACGAAAAATAAATTACTGAAAACAATTGCTTATGCTGAATTGCTGGAGTAAGTCGTACTTCCAAATAAACATCTTAGTAAAAATGGAACATTTTTGGTCAATGTAATTGCAAATAAATTAGACATTAAAAAGTAAATAGAATAATAAATAAATTTTTCTGACAAATGCCAATTATATTACAAAAACAAATTTCTCATGTTCTTACCTGTACCAACACTCAAATTTTCCTTTTCGGATTCATCAAAGCTTGATTTAGATTTTGCTCTTCTTTCAAAAGATTCGCTAACACTGGCACTCTGATTTAAGTCGAAGTTTGCTTTGACAACCCTATGAATGTTTGTTGGAGTTGAATTAGCTATATTATCAATAAAAGTATCTTGCGGATCTATAGAATCCTTTCTCTTGTTCTCCCCATCTAAGGCAGGTGAATTTAACCTAATAGAAAGTTATGATTTTAGTTACGACAGCTCTCAATATACAAATAATTTTATTTACAAACCATGACACCCTTCTCTCTTCTTTTCCTTTTTTGTCTTTCAATAAAATTCCATGTAAGCCACTAACTGGAGTTGTAGTAACCTTAGTATCTTCAATATTAGAAGTTTTACTCAACGATTCATTGCCTAAAGTCTTATCAATATTATCGATAGAATTATTTGACGATTTATTTGTTAATACAAGGCGTTTAGGATTTGGTTTGAGACTAAAAACCTCTATGGATGGGTCATATTCTTCTAGTCCATCAAATAAAGTTTTCTGAAATAATAGAACAAAGAAAATAAGTGACACGGCAATTAACAAATTGAAAAGTTTGTTTTAACTTTTGCAAACTTTCGAAGAAACAAACGAAAAAATTAAATATAGAGCAAATCCAAATGTTTGTTGACAAAACAAACATTTTAAGAAAAAAATCTGCATATATATGATGAATATATGATAAATTTTATAAAAATACAATAAATCTGTACATCCCCTTCAGAGAAAATAACAATAAAAAAGATCATGAAATGGATTTTCTGGTGAGAAACTATAAAAGTGTATACAATATTATATATATATATATATATATATATATATATATATATATATATATATATATAAAGAAAGTTTGATATGTAAAACTAGACTCTAATAGAACAAATGAAGGTAAAATTATTAAAACAAATGAAAAAAGCACATACAGTAAAATAAAACACATATATAAACAAAAGAAATTTCAGAACATAATATACATTTTTAAACATATATAATTAAAAAGAAAAAGATGATAAACAGAATATATTTTCGTTTCAGTTGAATTAAGTTTAGATATAAGATCAGCAAAATTATCAAAATGTCACTTACATCTGGCAAAATACAATTGAATGACAAAAATCATGCACATATTAGCATGAGAAACAATAAAAAAATAAATTTAAGTTCAATAAAAATTTAAATACAGAATTTAAGCATTTGCCAAGCATAGATTTCTAGCTAAAATTCAATTTTTAGATGAATTCTTATTGAAATTTTCTGTAGCGTATAGTGAAAAAAGCAAACATATTTTATAGATTTTGACAATTGTTTATAATCAATCATCTAAAATTAAATTTGTTTGCATTAAGATTCTTTCATAACTAATAACTTGTAAATCGATTAATATATCGTCACAATATGAAAATTAATATTTTGGCAGTCTATATTCATACATCCATGCCAGCCATATATATATATATATATATATATAATGCTTGAATATATGTCAAGATCATAAGGTTATAGGCGCTACTTTGGAAAACAATGAAGTCTGCATTTACAAAATATGTCAAGATGAAAATTATTATATTGTTCATAATCATATAAAATTGATGCAGTTATCTTTATAAAGGAATGCACTTCACTTTGACAATACTAATGAGTTAATTATTCATAAAATAAATGTATCAAAATTATCACGCATGCAATATGTATTGCATTATTATGCTAAGAGGATCTGAAACAATAACACTTTTTAAGTATTATATTAATTCAAATTACAAAATATACACACATATCATTCAACATCAGTTCATTCGATTAAATAAATATATGCCGTGAATAACTTTTTAAAAAAACATGCACAAATATAATTTAGAAAATAAGACCTTTGGATTAGCAGTCCAGCTAAGTGGTTTTATTTTAACATTAGCGTCTCTCCCAGTAGATAATTTGAATTTTGGATTGTCCAAAACTGCTTTCTGGGCTGTTGGATTAGTTGGACGTAGTAATTCTTCTACTTTACCTGAAAAATCAAGCCATTTATATATAGTCCTGATAATTTAATCTATTACTATAGTACTCTATGTAGATTTAGATTACCTGAAGCTGGAGCCAAATTTTTAAACAAAGGTGAATCACCAAATGGTTGTGAAATCAGAATCATTTGTTGATGAATAGGAATACTTGTATTGGAGGAAGATTGTTGGGTACCCAATGTGGTACTGAAAGACAAAAATAATTATTTCATTATATTCATGGTAAACAAAACATCAACTAAAAAAATTTTAATAATTAAAACCTAATTTAGAAGATAGTTTGATTATTACTTGAAAATTAAAAAAACAGATTTAAACTAAAATTAAATGTTTTTAAAAACTAAAAATCAAATGTTTTGAGAGGCCATACTTGCCCAATCCTGTGTTCGTAAGAGTATTATTGGTTCCAAAAGTATTTGTACTGCCAAATAACCCAGTGCTACTTGGATTGGTTGTGCCAAACAATCCACCAGGTTTAGCTGCTGTGTTAGTACCTCCAAATAATGAATTTGTCGTTCCTCCTAGATTTAAACCAGTTCCTGAATATCAAATTCATTAAGCATTTATGTATGATTATGTAAAATAAAATGAATTTATATTTTATCATTTTTCTAATTCAATTATAATGATAAAGAATAAAAAAATTTCATCTTGTCAAAAATAACTTAAAAAATAATTAAATATAAATAGATTTATCTAAAAGCAGTTCGTCTTATGAGAATTTATATTGAAATGCTATATTAACTTGTATGGACGTGTTGTATTTTACAAAATAAAACTTTTTACCTAAAGTGGTGTTGGTAGAAGTGTTTCCAAAACCAAATGTGCTAGTTGCTGGTTTGTTAAATGTATTATTGAATAAAGAGTTTGAAGTAGTTGTTTGACCAAATCCTCCAAAACCAGTACTAGTGGCTGGTGTTCCAAAGCCTACAAAAAATTTTATGTCATAAGCTAATAGTTTTTATTACAATTAATGCATCGTCTTTTTTCCAATATAAATTTCAATTATTCAATTATGATAATTCAAATATATGTAATGTATATTAATAAATAGAAAAATAAATTTATATATATACATATATTATATAATATATATATATACATATATAAATATATATATATATATATATATATATATATATATATATATATATGATAAGTAAATACCTGTATTTGTTGCACCAAATCCAGTAGTAGCTGGCTTGGCACCAAATAAGCTTGAAGTAGCTGTAGTTGTTGTTGCAGTCTGACCAAAAGCTCCAAATCCTGTGCTGGTTGAAGCAGGCATATTGAAAGGGCTACCTCCAGGCTTAGCACCAAATAAACCAGTTGACTGCAAGATTCAATAAAAGTATCATGCTTTTAACTATCATTTTAAGTAATAATTTAAACTCTAAAAAGTTGAAAGAAAGAACTCTATACCTGTGTAGTGGGTGTTCCAAAACCACTAAAACCAGGAGTAGTTGTGCCAAATGTACTTGTGGCAGGTTGTCCAAAAAGTCCAGTTTGTGGTGTGCTGGTTCCGAATGGTTTTGCTTGAGTGCTAAAATTAAATAGTCATTTAATATATATGAAAAAAAAAAATAACTCAATTTTCAATGTATACAAACTGACTTAGCTCCAAACGTATTTGTATTGAAAGAAAATGCAGATGTAGTGGTTGCAGCTGGTTGAGCGCCAAATGCTGTAGTAGGTTTGGCACCAAATAATGAACTAGTTCCAGACTGTGTAGTTGCTCCAAATGCAGGAGTTGTGCTACCAAATCCTAAAAAGTTTCAGTAAATTATAAGTTTAAAAGCATAAAAAATTTAAAATGGCTTAAAATTACTGTGATTAACAATAACAATAAATACACAAATAATTTAAGAAACTTAAAATTTAAAATGAGAATATTTTTAATTTACCTAAAGCTGGAGTAGTTGAACCAAATAATGACTTATTTTCTTGTTGCCCAAATATTCCTCCTGTTGCTGGAGTAGAAGTAGCTTGCTGACCAAAAAGACCTGTTTGAGGTTGAGCCATACCGAAAGGACTAGAAGTGCCAATGCCACCAGATTGAGGACCTTTGCGATTAGCCATATAATCTTCAAGTCGTAATTCTTCTAAAGATTTGCCTTCATATTCCTAACACGAAGTATTGTTACCATATATCAACAATAATCTATCAATCTAATTACTAACTATTAAAAATACAAAAACATACTTGGATATAAAAAATTATTTCATACTCAACCTCTGAAGTAGCTATGAGGAATATATACAATATCAACATATTTGAATGAGAAGAATGGAAGCAGAAAGAGGTCATGAATATACTATCTATTTTTTCTTTACTAAGGAGTGCATTGCACGACAAAGAAGGCCACTTTTGAAGTTAAAAATATGGGAAAAATATAGGAAGCTTACCTTCATACATGTAATACAATGATGTTTCGTATTTATTGAAGTGCTTTGTCCACTTTTAACCATCATATCAGTACCCGTGACTGGATTAAACTTGATCACTGTCCCAGTAGAACCACTTGCAAAACCTATATAGACAAGTTGTTTTACACTAGTTCAAAATCTGTTTACATATCTTATTTAATTATCAAAAAATAAATAATAATTACAAATTGCATATTTACTGCAATTTGCAAACTCAGAAAAATTGGAAACAAAATGTGTCTTAAACTGATGAGAAACATCAATCTGTCGATTTTTAATGCATCTGTAATAAACTGTATTTCTGAATTTCTTTAGCAGAATTAAAATACACACTAACAAAGGATGATTATATGTTATAATGTAAAATTTTTACAACTTGATGATAAATCAAAATAATATATTTAAAATAAAAATTATTAGATATTTTTGCAAATTTGATATGTAAATTTATTTTCATTCACAACATAATTGTCTAGTCAGTACAATAACTTTCTGAAATTTATAACTTGCCATAAAACTATCTTGAAACAATTTTATGATATTTTTTATGTAAATGTTTGAAAGATTTGATTTTATGTTAGTTCAACATTCTCAAAATTTAAGTTTAAAAAAAGCATTTACTACTAAGTACAAAACTAATCTTACTAGTATTCCCAAACAAGCCTGTGCCAGGTTGAGTAGTGGCGCTTTGACCAAATAAACCAGTAGTAGTAGGAGCTTGAGTTGACGCAGTTTGTCCAAATAGACTACCAGTAGATGGTGTAGCACCAAACCCAAAAGTAGACCCTTTATTAGGTTGACCAAAAGCTGATGTTGTTGTGCCTGCACCAAATAAGCTACCAGAAGTACCTGCTGCTGATCCTGGAGCATTGCCACCAAACAAAGAAGTGCTTGCAGCTGGCTGGCCAAAACCTTAAAATGAAGACACGATATGTATTTGACAATATTGAAAATTCAATAGAAGAAAGCAAACATTTATTCCAATAAAAAAATAATAAATTGTATACAGGACATAACCACTGAATATATTTCAGACATAAATAAATTTTAAGTGAGTCTTGACAATAAGTTTTGTTCAAATATAATAACCATTACTAGGTGTATGTGGTATATTACCGAAGGCAAGTTGTATAGAGTTCCCAATTTGTGTATATTAACCAAGAATAAATTTGAAACAAATGCATGATCGACTTGTATTAATTCATTATGAATGCAATCTTTCATAAATAATTATTTGACACACTTAATCTTTGATGTTATGTACATGTACATACCAAATGATTGTGTAGTAGAGGGTGCCCCAAAAGCAGGTGCAGCGGCTGGAGTTCCAAATAAGCCAGTTGCTGGCTGAGCTGCATTACCAAATAGGGATGTCGAGGAAGTACTAGCTCCAAACACAGTAGGGGTTGCACTAAACCCAGCAGTTGCAGGTTTCCTATTGTTGACAAAATAGCTTAATATTTGTAATAATTGAACAATAATTTTAGAAATAATTAGAATAATAATGCAATATACATGTGATTAGATATTAATTTGGAAATATGAACACACAGCAATCTTTTTACACTTATTTATTAAATAATTTTGATTTTACAAATTTTTGAGACTAGGCTTGTCTCATCCTCGTGCAAAATCATTTATAATAATTTAAAT